CACCCCACCCCCCATCCCTCCCCACTCCCTTTCCACCCCAAAGGACTTACTAGCTGCACGCAGCTGTATCGGATATCAGATTGGTATTGGCCAATATGCCTCCTTAAAAATCGGCTATCGGTATCGGCCCCCAAAATCTCTATTGGTGCACCCCTGTTACATAGTGATGGGCTGGTGCAGGAAAGGATTTAGCTGCTATGTGGGGCAGCATCACAAGGCTTTAGAATCATAAGAAAGTAGAGCCAGAAGGGATCTCAGGAGGTTGTCAAGTCCAACTCCCTCCTCGGGATAGGATCATCACTGTTGGAACCAGCCCAGACAAACATTAATCTAATCTACACTTTAAAATTTCCAGTGACAGAGATTCCATGAGCTTTCTAGCTTTAACTTACTTTTCCATTATCCAGCTTTTATTTGGATACCGTGGTGCAGCAGTTCTCAACTGTTTTTGGACCTGAGGTACACCTCACTGGACTCGAGACACCCCTCCATAACTGTGAATTGAGTGTCATCCCATTTCAAAAACTCATTAATATATGACAGTGGTTACCTCAATACCAAGGGGCCAGGCAGGGGGGTGAGTGATCTTCCAGGCAGGGATAAGCCTGAGCCTGGATTTACCTGCTTAGCTCCTCATACTTCCTGGCACCCTTCAAGGGATCTGGTAGCACCCCAGAGTGTCACAGCGTCCTGGCTGAGAATCACTGCCATGGTGGGCTTCATAACTTAAACAGCCAGAGAGGGGCAGTTTTCATAGATTTCATAGACATCAGGGCTGGAAGGGACCTCGGAAGATCATTGAGTCCAGCCCCCCGCCCAAAGGGCAGGAAGTCAGCTGGGGTCATAGGATCCCAGCAAGATAAGCATCCAGTTTCATCTTGAAGGTGTTCAATGAAGGCACTTGAACCACCTCCGGTGGCAGGCTGTTCCAGACCTTGGGGGCTCGGACAGTAAAGAAGTTCTTCCTTATGTCCAGCCTGAAACGATCTTGAAGTAGTTTGTGACCATTCGACCTCGTCATCCCTTGGGGTGCTCTGGTGAACAAACGTTCCCCCAGATGCTGGTGGTCACCCCTGATAAACTTGTAGGTGGCCATCAGATCACCCCTGAGCCTGCGCTTTTTCAGGCTAAAGAGCCCCAGGGCTCTCAGCCTGTCATCGTAGGGTCTGCTTCCCTGACCTCTGATCATGCGCGTGCCTCTTCTCTGGACTCTCTCAAGCTTCTCCACCTCCTTTTTGAATTGTGGAGCCCAAAACTGGACACAGTACTCCAGCTACGGCCTCACTAAGGCTGAGTACAGGGGGAGAATGACATCCCGGGATTTGCTTGAGAAGCATCTATGGATGCAAGCCAGCGTTTTGGTCGCTTTACTAGCCGCCGCATCGCATTGCAGGCTCCTGTTCATCTTGTGGTCAATGATGACCCCCAAGTCTCTTTCTTCCATAGTGCTAGCCAACATAGCACTGCCGAGCCTATAAGCAGTTTTAGTTTAGTTAAGTTTCATTTTTGACTTTGCAGCTGCTTTTATAAGTGGTCATATGGGAAGTGATCATATTTATGATTATACAGTAATCATAAAGTGATCATATTTATTATATAAACTTGTTATGTAAACTTATACACTGGTAAATTGGCTCCCCCCTCTTTTTTCCCCCTCCCTTCCCTGCTCTACATGTTGTTTTCCTAATTTCCACCTATTTACATTTTCACTGACATCTTGTCACATTTTTAGCTTCTTTCATTCCTTGAAGTCTCAAAACAGTGGAGTCTTCTTATGCCTGAAGAAAGGTGATTGCACCTGAAAGCTTGCAAAAACTTTTTTCCAACTACTCAGTTGGTCTAATAAAAGATATCACATCTGCTCAAAGAACCTTGCCTACATTACTGAATGCTTTTGTTTGTCCTTTATTTTTTCAGATCGCAGTAGATCTGAGATAGATTTGAGTGAATCTTTCTCAGAAGGAAATGAAGATACTTTAAGCTTAAGAAGCAAATCTGTACCTGGAGATTTGGACCAGGACCTGGTGAGTTAGAAATGTATTACCACACGTAGTAGGAAAAATGTTTTGTGGCTTCTGAAATCAGCATAATAGTTACATATCTGTTTCTTCTCAAGAGAGGACACAGCGTTATATAAAGAGAATTCAAGCCTGTATCCAGATTATGCTGGAACTCTTGCAGAATGCAAAACACCACATAATAGAGAAATGTTGAAATATAGACTTATAGGGCTTGATGGGAACTCTGGGATCAAAGTAGAAGGCTGTTGGACTGATGGGCACACATGTCTTGTGGTGGGATTCTACTGTCCATTAAGAAGATGCATCAGTTTAGTGGATATTTAACAAAAAATAGCTTTGGGCAATATCATCTTCCAGGTGTGATGTGTATGGTTTGATTCCAAAGAATATCCACAGTTAAAGCTCTCTGTCTGTGTTGCATAATACAACAAAGCTCTGGGATTTTTTTTGATCTATAGATAGATCAAGTTTCATTTGACAACAACACTCATCCAATTTATTATATACACTCCAAATCTTTGATAATTCTTACTTTTTAAAGGTTAATTTTGATGCTCAGCTACTCACTTTCAAAGATCTTCAACTTTGCCACTCTCTGCTTGTCTATTCTAGTCTTACACTAGCTTGTACTCCATGCCTCTATTCTACAGTACAACCTGGAGTCTTCACAGCTTTAGGTTTCTTATTCCCCTTTCAAAGACAAGGGTTTGCAAAGTAGTTGGCGAGAGTTTTACAGCCACAGGTATACAGCCACTGAGGTGTTCAAGTTGTTTGCTGTCGCTTTTATTTCAAAGGGTGCCTCTTCCCCAATCAGCCAGGTAGGACCATTGATGAGCTGTAACGGATCAGAGAAGCAGCATCCTTTGAAATAAAAGCTACAACAAACAGATTAGATGGGTTGCAAACCCCACCCCATGCACAAAGGCTCCAGGTTCTACTATAATATCTACTTTTATATTGCTAATCTCCCCTCACTCTTCAAATGTCCCTTGTCATCTTAGACTGTAAACACATTGGAGCAGGGATTGCTTCTATGTTTGTGCAATACCTACATTGGGGCCCCTTTGGCACTAGTGTGTTATAAATTAATGGTGCCCAACCCATCTAGTTCTGCAGGCCAGGTTAGGGCACAGTACCAGAGCACAGGCCAGACTGGCATGTGGAGCCACTACCATGCACTGGATGGTGCTCAGAGGGCCGGCCACATGTGCTGAATCAGGCCACAGACCATTCCCATGGCGCCATTTCATTTGGCCTGTGGGCCTCCTCCATGCGTTCACTGCTCCATGGTGTGGAGGAGCAGTGAACATGTTAATGGCTGTGGCTATTAATGCTGCCACTGCTCCCCAGCACCAATCTTTTAGACTCATGGGGAGCCCCACAGGACAGATGACATAGCTCTGAGGGCCGGATCCATTCAAAAAGACTTGCATTGAGCACCATTGTTTTAAATTGTTTTGTAGTCAACCAGCCTTTCTAGAAGTTACTTGTGTCCTGTATTTATGGGCAGAAATCCATGCTGGAGCCAAGGGATAATTGGACCTACCACTTGCCTTAGGAGTCCTTGTATGAGCTGATGGGGGCGCATTACAGTAACAGTCTTATCGTGGGAGATAAAAATTGCAGCCTTATGTCATGATTTAGGGTCCCTGGAGGTACTGTGGGAGTCATCAGGCAGGATGAAGAACATTAGAACAAAAATCAGTATCTGCAGACAAAGGCGGTCACATCTTCATTTTTCATGTTTTCTGGGTGTAGTAGCTGGGATATTTCTTGGAAGACCATATTTAATTGTCTATCACTGTTTGGTTGAAACTTGTTACCGTGGGTAATGATGTGGGAGATGCCCCATATATATGTGAAAAGCATGTTGTGGGTAAGAGCAGATGAGTCAGGTGATTGCCTTACTCCCAGTAGGTTTGTAGGGGTTTTAGAAAAGATGATTAGCAGGGAGAGCAGCTGGAAAATCATAGAGGTATTTTTTTCTTCTTTCATTTCTCTGATTTTTATGATGCTTCTTGATTATAATTACCAGTTAGACTTTATAAAAAAATATATACTTAGAATATATTTACCAACGAGCCATTGCAAAAGGTTATGGCATTCCATTCTAAAGTCAGAGAACTCCCTAAATATATGTTTTGCGTTATTAAACTAATTTAGTGCTTTAAAGCCTGTAAAAACACTGGTTCAGCTACTTCATAGTAATACTCATCACTATTCATCATTTCTCAGCCATTTTCCATAATAATTGGATCCTGTTTATTCTTATTACCCCAGCAGAGACAAGGAGGTTATTTAATTTCCTACCATTTCAAACTTTAATAAGCAACAGTAACTAATTATGTAGCTGTACTTCTGTAGCACCCTTGAGAAACATAATTGTTGTGGTGTAAAATGGAGGTTAAAATGTTATCCTTCTAGATCAGGGATGGGCAATTATTTGTGCTAGAGGGCCACTTAAGGTGTTTTGGTGAATTGTTACTGGCCACAGAATGAGGGGGTGCGACCCAGTGCAGCAACTGGCCCTGGACCCCTCTGCCCCACACCCACCATCGCAGGCAATGGACGGAGCAGATGGGCAGGCAGGTGGGGCGGGTCTCAATGGAAACTGGCCCAGGACTCTGCCCCAGGTCTCAGCCCCATGCTGTCACCACTCCATGATCCCAGCCCCACCTACCCATCCGGTTCCCAGAGGCCACTCCCTGCTGGCCTGTGGCCACATCCCAACGCCAAGTGTGTCCTGCCTTTGGAGGTCCCAGGCTGGTCACCATCAAGACCCCGCCCACCCATCCATTCTGTCTGATGTCACCCACTGGGTGTGGGGCAGACTGGCAGGGGCAGCCATGCAGAGTAAGCCACCGCCACAGGGGCTTCCAGGAAGCTGAGTCCAGCCACCGTGGTGCCCCTGCCCCACCGCCCACCCAGAGATGGCAAGAGTGGCCGCATGTGCCATAGCCCAGGCTGCACCCTGTGCCTGGGCCAGGTGGGGCCGAGGGACCTGCCATGGGCTGGATAGAATTCCTTGATGGGCTGGATCTGGCCCGAGGGCCATATTTTTTCCGCCCCTATACTAGACAGCTTCAAGAATCTGGTTGCAGTAAAAAAGATAGGCAGCAAATATTAATAGTTAGCTTTTTGCTGTGCCTGTGAAATTGAGGAGGAAAATTCCCAAAATGTTTCTTAACACATCACTCAAATTGAAAATGCTGGTTCTAGATTTTTACTCCACATTTACTTACCAGTTCTGGTTGTGTCCCTATATCGGCTGCTTCTCCCCACTGCCCCCACTGCAAGCCCTGCTACCAACAATAGTGCCCACACTGCAAGCCCTGCAGCGGATGAGGCTGTCAGCAATGGCAGCATTCCCGGTGCTGTCCTTGCTGTGAGCTCTGCACCTGACGAGGCTCGCAGGGAGGCAGTGTTCTCCCCACTGCAAGTCCCACAGCTGACGAGGGTCAAAGTGGGACCATTCTGGGAATGTTGCCACCACGTTCCCAGCATGGTCCCCCTGTGAGCCTTGTCAGCTATGGGGCGGCTGGCAGCAGGTGGGTGCACCCCTGTGGCTGGGAGCCCTTCAGTTGATGAGGCTCCCAACCACATGGGAAGGCCACATGTTCAATTAATGGCACAATTAAAACAAGCTACAAAGTTATTCCACATTTTTTCTGGAATAATTTTGTAGTTTATTGCTTGTTTTATCTTGCCATTAACTGGGTGTAGCTGGGTCACTCTTTAAGACGTGATTACTGGTTAGTCACATCTTAAATGTAATGTGCAGAGGGGGCCTAAGACTGTCCATCAGAGAGACCTGCTTTTTCCTGTGTCAGACTATAAGATTGTATAAGTCAACATGACTCCACTGAAATAGAGAAGAGAAAAGTCAATGGAGCTCTCCATTGATTTATGACCATTGATTTATCTTTGTAATGGGTCTGGCTGACTGTTGCTAAAACTGAGTTTCCCAGGTGATAAGTGAGAATGCATGGATCAGGTTTCCCTGAAAGCCTGTTGTCTTTTTTTCATGGGATACAGAAACATCCTGACTGGAACAGAAAGGAAATAAGCACAGTTCAACAGCGAGCTTACTGCAACTTTGAATTCTTTTAGGCTACAAACAGACATCACATTTGTCCCACGATAAACTATTTTATCCTGGGGCAAAGTAAAATAATTCAGACATCCACATCCTTTGTGTTAGGATACATCTTAAGAAAATTCATGGCATAAGAAGTACTAATAGTTTATCCTGAGACATTGCAAAGTGTTTCTGAACGGTTATTCGAGGATTGCATCACTGAGTCAGTGGCAGAAAAGTAGCGGTGTGTTAAGCCATTCACTAAACCCTGATTAAAAGGATGATATATACACATGCCAATCTGGGGATATTTTTATTCCAGGACAAACACAGGCACAATGTCTGTTCCTAGCTATAGACTTAACCTCTTACCCTTTCCCAGAGAACGTTACCATGAATAAGAATAAAAGTAGTTATGTATTTTTAGCTGTTTTCTTCCCTTTGCAATTTAGTAAGTGGAACCAAAGAAGAGATCCTGACCAACTCTGCAGTGCTCTGGCTTCTGAACAGAAAAAGTGCCTGGAGGGAGAGGCGGGCTGATTAGCAATCGAATTACTTTTTTTTTTTGTCTTTTTAGGATTACCTGGATGTGACAGAGGAAGATATTGATGACATAGCCTCTCATTACTCAAGGAAGCGTGGACATTTGTCAAGTGCATTATCAGCAGTAAGGTCTCCATTAGAAAACATGCCTGTTTTCCTTCTGACTAAGTTAATAAATTCCTGGGGTGGATGATGACTAAGTGACACAGAGCAGACACTTAGCATTCCATTCCATTTTATTTAATAACGGTTTTTCCAAATTGCCTTTCCTGCTGTCATTTAGCAACAGCTTTAACTTTGTGATAGGAATATTAAAACATGATAGCAGAAAAAACCTCTGTGTAAAGCTTAAGTGGCATTCTCTGCAGTCAGTATTGAAGCAGGGGGCTGCGGTGGCACACATGCTAAGCTGCACAGTTGACAGCCCAGAGGTTGGAAGTTTGAGGCCATAGCTCATGGTGCAGCCCTGTCAGGTTTGTAACGAATCTGCAAATTCTGCTAAATACCTGGTCAGAACATGGACATAAAAAGGGAGTATTGAAACAGAGACCCCTTCAGGAGCATTCAGGTTTTGGGGCCTGATCTTTGGAGGTGATAAGTGTCCTCAACTTAAAATTAAAGAAGAATAGGTGGGTCAGTCAGCTTCTCACAGGACCAGACTCTGAGAGTTTTAAGGAATTTCTGTTTGTGGTGAACAATGACAAATATCACCTCAAAAAGGAATGAAAAGCTAAGAAACCTGAAATGTGATGAGTCTAGAAGCCCTGGGAAAATACAGATGCTTGTCTTATGAGTTTTGCTTCTTAGCTCATATGGCTGCTGCTATTTACCAAAGTGTATTCCATTTTCTGTGTGTTCCACATTTTTCAAATAGTTTCATATGTATGGAATACGAGGAAGATATTTGGGTATCAGCTTTACTGACTAGGGCTATTTATAGAGGTGCTCCAGGAGGTGGGGGGATCTGAGAGCTGCACTACCTAAAAGTGCCTGGACCATCATGTGTATCAGCATTCCCATGCTGAAAAATGGTGGTGGAGTACTTTGAACTAAAGCTCATTGAATGAGCCTTAAAGCTCCCTGTCACCATTTTTTCAGTGCAGGGACACTGATACACATGATACTGGATTCTGCTGGAGCATGGTAATTACCACGCATCAGCAGACTCGATTAATTGAGTGTGCTCTGATGCACTGTAATTACAGTGTGTTAGAGTAGCCTCCCTGCATGTGTATAGGAGCCCAACATTTCTGTTTTACTGCAGGAAACTATCATATGTTTCTGCAACATCTTTTCTTTCTCCACTTCACTGATAAACATATAGTCAGAGGCATAATAAACAAGTTTTGTACTGTGAGCAAAACCAGAAGGAGCAGGGAGTGCCAAGTGATGAACACTGGGCAGGTAGTTGGGAAGGGTCATGGTCTCAGGGACTCAGATACCCTGGCTGCTGCTGCCACATCACTATCCTTGAACCTAATATGGCTGCTTTGGGCCTTCTCAGCAATATATTACACCCATAAATCTGGCCTCTGTGCCATACTTGAGTGACAGATAGTTGGTGTAATGTGCTTCATACAATTGATTGTACTTTCTAAGGTAGGAGGTATGCTGGTGAGTAGGAAGGTGATTGATGCACATTGTAGGCAGTCACAAATTGGAGCAGCCCTTTGACTACTTTACTTCATTCCTGGCATCTGACTGATGCCCACCAGCTCTAGAGACTGGAGTGTTAGAAAAGGGGTGTAGAGCATTGAACCTTATGCCAAAAATATCTGTGGGATCCAGGTTTGTGACCCTTATACAAAGTACCAAAGAAATGCAACAATCTTTGGATTGGAGGGTGGTAGTAAAGAAAACTAGTGATCAGTATGTTTAATGTAAAGGGGCAGTTTTAGCTAATGACACTAGGAAATTAACTGTAGTTCATAGATGTGATGCAATATCTTTAAAATCCATGCAGATCAAAGAGAATGCCCATTCAAAATTCAGAGAAGGCTCTGTAGAATTTTGGTTTACTTTGGAAGAAAAAAGGGCCAAATAAAACTGGTTGTCGAGGGGTTCTTGGTATTTAGCACCTGGATCCATTTCCTCTTTTTTCCATTTAATGTACTTCAAGGAAATAGACTTAGAGGAGACTGGGGCACATCAGGACCATGAGCAAGTGTGACTCAACTGCAGTCAGCGGAGTTAAACCCACTTAACTCAGGTTAAATTTGATTCATCATCCCTAAGGCTTGCTCATTCATAGATGTTTAGCAATAGAATCACCGGTCCTTAGGCTGAACACTGACAGGAGCTGCAAGTTTTTTCAGTCCTCTCTCTCAGTGTAGGCCTTCATTTGGGAGTTGCATGAAAGGAGATATTTCCCTAGTACTTTGAGCATTAGGTTTCTCTTTTGATATAGCTTTCCTTCCAACCTTTTCTTTGGTCCAAGTGCAGCTCTTCTGCTCTGGTAGAACTGAGATACTCTGCTTGCTGTTCCTTTTGTCTTCATATCTCTCCCAGCATGTTTATTAATGTCACTGCATGTTTCAGTACTTTTAACAGCAAGCAGCTTTCCCCTCTCATAGAGTAAGTCAACTTTATAGGCCCATTTCAACATTTTCTGTTGGGAACTAAATATTTCTCATCTCCTGTTCATGCTTTTATTGAATTTATTCTGTGCATTTCAGCTTTTGGAATTTTAAAAACACTGGAAATGCTTTGCTGGTTTTTCTGAATTTTAGTTGCTGATGATTACTGTCATACTATGATAAAATAATATTATAAAAGTACAACAAGCCCTGATTAAATGCTGATTCTTTGCAAGTATGAATAAACAGATTTGAATTAAATATCTAACAAGTTCCCTGAATCCCCAAACCACAGTAGTTGAGCTAAAGTAAAAGCAAACTGATAGTAATAGAGCAGACACCTCACATTCACATTAACACAGGCGAGTAAAAATTGGAACTGACATTGACCAAGGGCTGTATCTCAGCCTTAGTTTAGGTTTTCCCGTATTTTCCCAAAGCTAATGTTTCAGCCATTCATTTAATTCCTTCATCGTTCAATGCAACTAATATTTATTATCATGAACATATTTCAGTGTGTCGTCTTGTTTCCATGCCAGTGTTAGCAGTAAAATGGGAAATGCTCCTCTGATTAAAATAGACCCCAGCCCTGTAGCAAGAGAGTGCTGAGCACCCTTTGATGTATTTAGGGTTTACTGGCTATTTGTGAAATCATAACATGAGTACATTTTCCTTAACCAGGGGTATCAAACTCACCAGGAGTCCTGGGCCAGATCAGGACTGTAGGGGCTCCTCACGAGCTAGGTCCAGCCAGGGGAACAGGGTAGTGGTAATGGTGATGGCCACCATTGCAGCATTGACCATTGTGGCAGCAACAGCCACCAGAGCAGCAGTGGGACAAACAGCCAGGGGTCAGGCAACTACTTGCCATGGCAGAGGTGTGCAAATAGCAGGCATCTGCAAGGCAACCAAGAGCTGTGCTGCATGGCTCTCACTCACCTGCCTGTCACCAAGGCCCATATCCACCAGGGCTTCATGGTCCTGAATTATGTGCAGGCCCTGCCCTGGCTTGTCCCCAAATTTGGCTATGTCCCCAAATTCTTTAACTTGCCAGTAGTCTGGTGGGCCAGATGGAGCAACTCCATGGGCCAAATCTGGCCTGTAAGCCATGTGATTGACACCTCTGATTTAAACACCAATGTTTTATCCTACTTTTAAACCTGACAGAACAAAGGCAGTGTATGGAAAGAAGTTAAATATTTTAAGTGGTTATAAAATAAAAAGCTTTCTAAAGTTTTCCTTGTGGTTCATTAGCAGTGTAGGGATTTTCTTTCTGAATTCCAGGCTTAACTGTGACCTTTGTTCAAGTCCAATTTTTTCCATATCTATCCTTAAATATTGTGGAAACTCAGGAGTTGGTTCAGACTCAGCCAGAAACAATTTTCTTACATGTTGATTTAATATAAATAAGCTAGGGCCAGGCTTACTAAGGCCGCCACATGAATTGTTACATCCTTGTTTTGTTCACAAGGAAGTCTGTTTTGTGCACAGACTGAATAATAATGTTCAAAGCCTCAAACACCTCTCTTCACTACACTGTCTTGGATCTATAATGGGGAAAGGTTTGTAAATGGTAAGGGTGCAATACAGGCAACAACCTTTGAAAATGATACCACAAATGCACTGAGACTAGGAGGAAATCAGTTTTGTTCAGTAGTGCCGATAGTGGCTTGCATGGTGACTTCAGCCAGCCCTGCTGTAGGAATTTCAGAGTTGGTTACAAAAATTAACACAAATGCAAGCTTTAATTAGGAAGGCACTTTCCCTGTACCATACTAGGAATGAAGATGAACTACAGTACAAAAAAAACCATTACTTTAGCTGTTTGTTAGTCCTTTTCAATGAAAAAAACGAAGGTCATTTTTAAGGAGAAGTTACTTAATGCATGCTTTTTTTCTGATGCAGTGTTATTGTCATCCCTAGTCTTCACTTTCCTTTCTTTGCCTTAGAAAACATGTTTGGAAGGTCTAACCAGTCATATTTCAGGCTAAATTATAGCTCTTCCTCCCTTAGAGTCCCACCCATCTATCTCCCCTTTTTGTGGGAAATTCCTGTAACTTCTCTGATGGGCTTCTTCAGACACCTGAACAGCACTGTCCAGCAATAAGAGGAAAAGGAGTCCCTGATAGTCTTGAACTTTGCTAAATGTATACTTTTGCAAAATATCTGGAAGCTGATTATAAAGGAGGACTTGAAAGGGATATTTATGGGGGGAGAAAACCAAAAAAAAAAAAAAAAAAAGCTTTTGTTGTATACCTGCCCTTACAGCTGAACAGAATTAAAATCCCAGAAAAAAAATTGTTAGTTTTCAGGAAGGCCTTTTTCCAGCAAAGAAGTTCATGTTTAATTTTTGTCACAAGACCGTCATCTTCAGTGGGAACAGAGAAAGCACATATGTAGGTAGGTAGAGGATTTGCAACCAAGGTACAGATCATTGATTCTGTGTTTCTAGCATATGTTCTGTTTATTGCTACCTTGCTGCAGGAGACACATTTTCTCCACTTCTTAGATACTTAAATCCAGATATTCCTGTAGTACTAAAGCTGATGTATAAGAAACACTCTTGCACGCAGGAAGTTCATTACTGGAGAGGGATCAAATAAGTCAGAAGTGGATTGGCCAAGTTCACCGATGATACCAAACTTTGGGGCAAAGCATCCACACCTGAGGACAGGAGGGCGATCCAGGCTGACCTTGACAGGCTCAAGAAATGGGTGGGTGAGAACCTGATGGTGTTTAACACCGAAAAATGCAAGGTTCTCCACCTTGGGAGGAAAAACCTGCAGTATCCTTACAGGCTCAGCCGTGCTACGCTGGTTAGCACTACAGATGAAAGGGACTTGGGGGTCATGATTGACCACAAGATGAATATGAGCCTTCAGTGTGATGCTGCAGCCAGTAAAGCAAGCAAAATGCTGGCTTGCATCCATAGATGCTTCTCAAGCAAATCCCAGGATGTCATCCTTCCGTTGTACTTGACCTTGGTGAGGCTGCAGCTGGAGTACTGCATCCAGTTTTGGGCTCCTCAATTAAAAAAGGATGTGGAAAAGCTTGAGATTGTCTAGAGAAGAGCCACGCGCATGATCAGAGGTCAGGAAAAAAGACCTTACGATGACAGGTTGAGAGCTATGGGACTCTTTAGCCTAGAAAAGGGCAGGCTCAGGGGTGATCTGATGGCCACCTATAAGTTTATCAGGGGTGCTCACCAGTATCTGGGGAGGATGATTGTTCACCAGAGCACCCCAAGGGATGACAAGGTTGAATGTTTATAAACTCCAGCAAGGCCATTTCAGGCTGGATATAAGGAAGAATTTCTTCACTGTCTGAGCCCCCAAGGTCTAGACTAGCCTGCCACTGGAGGTGGTTCAACCACCTACATTGAACACCTTCAAGACACATTTGGATGTTTATCTTGCTGGGATCCTATGACCCCAGCTGACTTCCTGCCCCTGGGGCAGGGGGCTGGACTCGATGATCTTCCAAGGTCCCTTCCAGCCCTAATGTCTATGAAATCTATGATTTAGCTCCTGACTGCCAGGTATATCAAAGGGCCAGGTATATAGCAAAAGTTTTTTAAGTTTTGTCCCTCCATAAATATCCCTTTCAAGTCCTCCTTTAAAATCAGCTCCCAGGTATTTTGCAAAAATATATATTGTGCAAAGTTCAAAAATCACATCACTGTTATATCTGCCTAGTCTGAAAATCTTTTTCACTGCTTTCCTGAATTGGTGCTGCAGCTCTGTAATGTTATTTTCTCTTGACCTTTCCACTGTCTTTCTTAAAGAATTCTCCTACAGGCTCTGACAGGAAGTGGACCTACTTAAATGTGCCTGAAGCAGATGGGGATACTGTGAGTTCTTCTGCTTTTCTGGTTCTTAATGGTCTTTTCCCTCTCTTTTTCTTTGTTTCCGTGTTTCTGTTATTGACACAAACTTTACCCATGGCACAAATTTTACTATGATTGAAAGAGAGATGTTTAGTCATTGTTATTTAATTAGCCAGCAGAAAACTTACACCAAAAGTTTAAAATACCTTTGATTAGGACAACAAACAAACTCTAATTTTGCCTTTAAAATATTTTCATCCTTTCCTAATGGTAATCTCCGGAGTACTATGTTTTGAATAGCATGTGAAAGAGGTGAGACATTATTTTACATAGAAAACCTATTTAATGCAAAAAATGTTAATGACCCTGGGGAACACCAAATTAAAATACAAGGAAATTACAAAAACTGTTACGCATGTTAAGGCAACTAGAAATTCTAGAGCAGGATATTTTTTTTGCAATATTTCCATTATGGTTTTTATTTTCTGCAATTTTGTATGGAAAGTCTGGTACAGCCACTTTTTGAAGCAGAATACTACACAGGAGGGATTATTGGCAATCAACATATTCCTGGAACTGGCAACATGACGTCAACACAATTTACTTAATCATTCTGTTCCTCCAGTTAGTCCTTTTGGAACCTCTTTGTTCCTCCAGTAAAATGGTTGTAATGCCAGCATTTCAGATTCTTTATGTGAAGAAATACAAAAGACATGTAAAAGATTAACTGCTATTTTTCTGATTACTTTTCATATCAAATTCAAGCAAGTAATAATTTTGTTCTTCCTTGGTAAGCCTAGTTTTCATAGGCAACTTGAGCAGAACAGTAATTGCGGGGTCCTAATTATATGAAAAAGCTGGTTCTAGAAGGAGATTGTGTCTTTTTTTTCCCTCCTTTATTGCAGACTAGCATTAACAGCCTGATGAGTGTTTATAGTGAAACTGGGGACTATGGCAACGTGAAGGTCAGTGGGGAAATACTTCTCCACATCAGCTACAGCTACAAAACAGGTGCCCTCAACATCCTTGTTAAAAGCTGCAGAAACCTGGCCATAGCAGATGAAAAGAAGCAAAGGACAGATCCGTAAGCATAGATGATTTCTTTTTTGATGTTTTCTAGAAATGTCTTTGGTCTTGATGTAAAGTTGCATTTGACTCTGTGGACTGTCTGTGAGGATGATCACCACAAGCAGCATGGGTTCATCATAGGCTGCAGAGCCTCTCAGATTGTGTCTTATACCTCTCATTTACCCTGTCAGGAGGTGCCACGCTGAAACATGCCTCATTGCTCCATGCATGCCACCTCCCCAACCAGCAGCAGTATAGCCATATTCACACAACATTGCATCTGGACGAATTAGCTCTGCTGAGAAGCCGAGTAAGTTAGTTCACTCCTAGTGCCAAACAAAGAAAGGTACCTACGTGAAGCCACATGGTGCACATCCCCAGTGACCACAGATAAGTACTTTCTGGTTATTCCTGTTTGGAATAACCAAACCAAGTAGTGTTTTCAGTTGTTTCTTAGGGTGGCCTGTGTCCCTATTGACATCCTTGTAATCAGCTTGAGAGGAAAATAATCTAAATCAGTGGTTCTCAACCTATTTGTTATAGTGGGCCACACGTGCAGGTCACAACGCGTTATGTGGGCTGCACCCACACAACTTACTCCCTGTGTATCCATGAAAAAATGTCTTAACAGGATGTCACATGGACCACAGCAGTTTGCTGATTGGGCCGCAGGTTGAGTACCACTGATCTAAATGAAAGTAGAGCAAAGTCATTTATTACCACCAGAGACAAGGCCAAATGATGTGAGACAATGCTGTGGAGTCTCTAAAGGTGTGAGATCAGCATGTTTACTGAGATTTCAATTCCTTAGTAATGTGTAGTGAGCCACAAACCTCTAGAGCATGGAAATAAAATGATGTTCATCCTTCCAAGCTCCAAATATGTATCCTTTTCCAAAAGTCAAAGAAACATAAACCGTTAAATTCCAGTTTCTGTGTGTGTGTGTTTGATTAGATACTCAAGTGGCACTGGAGAATACTGGAACAGCATGAAAAATTCTGACACGGTGAATAGTGTGGGCAGTGGGGCTGGTAGATTACTGTGACCCCACTTCTTCATGAGTGCTACTACAGTATGTACAACTGAAATAATGCCATGACAAATTGGGATATGTATGAGCACACAGCTTCACTGCTCTTTACAGCAATAGAGTGTCATCTTCCTATGACAACAATGGACAACACTAGTCATTGGATTCCATTATGTAATTTGCTTCTTCAGATAATAGGAGTATAGTATACAAACATATAATTGTATGGTGGTGGAGAAGTCCCTATTAATGTCAATCTTACCACAAAATACCGAACTGTTCTGTAACTCTTAAGTAAAACAAGAGCCAAGAAAATAATTGGCCATTATGCTGTGTATTTTTAATGGGATCCACAAATACACAGCATAAAGGTAGTAGGACATTTTGGTGCTTTTCCTGAGTGTTCAGGACCCAATTCTGATTTTTCTCAAATCTGCAGGTCAGAGTACTGTAATTAACATTGTATAATTCTGTTTACCCTGATTTGGTACTTTATTATACTGCTTGGTTGTGATTGACCACAAAAGTCAAATGATATTACTCCTATTACTCTTACCGGAAGTCTTGCAGCCTTTTTTCTGATGTGACTATTGTATTAAATTCCATTCTGTCAATGTTTTAGCATGGCAATTTGAAATGTGCATTTTGCAAATATTCATGGTATCATAGTGCTACCAAATCAATGTAGTCACATTATTTATATACTATACTGCTATTGTATTTTAATATTAAAGCTAAATTAAATTGTCTCAAATATTTTAAAATATATGCATCAGTTAGACTATAATGATTACATTGTCTAATTATAAAAAATATACAAATACACTTTTTAGATTATTTTAAGTTATGCCTGTTAGCATGTGAAAACAAAAAAAATTGTTAATAAAGCCCCACTCATTTCTCAGGACTAATACGCTACTTGAACTCTGCTCTTATGATTATTTTGATGCTGTCAAAATTGTTTCCATTGGCTCATAGTTCTCTGTCTGTTCAGGATGTTCTCTCTCAAATTAATGCATGAGTTAGTCTGCAAAAACAAATTTCCTGATTAATGCTTTGCGTGTAGTGTTGGCTGGTTTTCCTTCAAACATGGTTGCTCTTATTCTCTGGTTCTAATTTATTTCTTGATCTGCAGCTATGTCAAAGCATACCTCCTGCCTGACAAGTCCCGCCAAAGTAAACGCAAGACCAAAATCAAAAGTAACAGCACCAATCCAGAGTTTAATGAAACACTGAAGGTAAGAGTACTGCCACTCTCATAATCCATGCTTATTTGATTTTTATTTTATTTATACCCTAAATGTTCTCACAAAATACTCGAGTGGTTTAAAAAATTCGGAAATATGGCAAAAAGGGAAATGTTTCTGGTGGCATAACTGCACTTTTTGGTACTCGCTGTCAAAGGAAAATTTTTACTTTGTTTTCCCTAGCCAGACACAACATAGATGTTGATTATTACAGTCTTCTCTTTACCTCCATGGATCTATTTCAGGGTCATTGCCATCTCATCTCACATAAAGTCCTACCGTGAGATTTTTAAAAGGATCTAAATGACTGCACAAAGTATTATGGGAAGCTCATAAGATGTGTACTCCTAAGTAACACTCGTCAGGAGCTTTCCATCAGTATAATCTTCTGCTGAAACATACTCTTCTCACAAAATTGAAATTTTCCACCGAATATTAAACTTCATTTTTGCCTGAATAGGATTGGCTTCTATTTCAAAAACTGAAATAATGGCTCTCTGTCTGCCTGCCAGGCAGCTTCAGTCCATTTCACTTTTTGTCTTCAAAAGTGACAGTAAAAACCTTCCAGGAAGACTTCAGAGGGAGAGTCTGTGGCTCTCAGCCTCCTACTTCAGCTCATTTAAGGCTTCTGTGGCACAGGAAATCATGGGGGACGAAGCCGAGCAGGCTGAGTGTTCTCGTAATTTGCCTTTCTGGCAACTGGACTGCAGGGCTCTTATCAATTACACTTCCTGCCCATTGACAAGAACCTTCCAGGCCAGCTGCAGTGGAGCCAAAAAAAAATCTGTTTCAGTTCCTTTGAAAGAGAAATTTCCTTGAATCCCCAAGAGTAACTTTGCCTTAGCCTTTTGGTCACTACTTGTAGATTGTCAGTTTTTCATTTTTACAGCTCTACATCCAAGTTGTTTAGTCATTTATGGAAATGCCACCATCAAACAAAGGGTTTATTCTTTATAGTGGCTTAAAATACGCAGCATGACAGGTTTCCTACTCTATTGACTTATACAACTTGGCTCATATAGTTGGACAAACCTGGCTGTAAAACTGCTTTACACACTGTGTATGCATACTTGTGTAGCAGACCTTTGTTACAACCCCATGTGTATATTTGTTTTACACTAGGGTTAGGTTTGATCTGACTTGGGAAAAAGTGGGTTAGCATCCATCTAGCAGGGAGTGTGTTTTCCTAATGTGGTTTCCAGACTTTGTCTAGGTGGATTATCTGATTAAAAAAACATAAAAGCTGACCAGTGTGGCTTGCTTGAGACCTTGGCCTGAGAGACAGCTGCCTAGATCTCATAGCAGAAGATCCATTAAACCAGTGGTGCTAGCCTTGCAGCCCTCTGGGCCAGTTGAGTGACATGGGGCCAGTTTGCAGCCCTGATCAGGTTCCAGGGCCTGGCACCACCCACTCCTGCCTCCCATGTGCCAGCTTTGGGTCCCAGGAGCTTGGTGTCACCCCTTCTGCACATCAAGATTGAGTGCTAGGGGACTAGTGCACCGCCCTCTCCCACCCTCAACACTAGAATTGGATCCTGGGGCCCTTGCTGCCATTGCTTAACCTGGTGCAATGGGATTAGGTGTTTCATCCAGCAGGCAAGCCCCAGGGCTCTCCATGGGTCCAGAAATTTGGTACCAGGAGAATAGGAGCCCTGCTGACCAGATGAGCTGTTCCCATTACTAACCTTGAAACCTCTATCCAAACAATCCTGGCTTCTAACATTATTCTAGTTAGATATGCATAAATACAAAGATAAATATGCAGTTTCTATTTAACCACTTAAAAAGTTGTGGGGATACTGTATCTGGTATTTGTTCATTAGCATACTGTCAAGTCTTTTTTTAACAGCAGCTCCTTCTTAGCGGGTAGAATTTTGTGTTCTGTTTAATTACTATATAAGCTATTTTATAAGGATTAAATAAGGGTGATTACCTGGGAAGCTTCTTTTTAGTGTAATAACCTGATAAATAATACAGAGAAGCCACAACAATAATAAAAACACTTGATTGTAAAGTGAGCAATTGGACATCATAGGCTTCTCTTGAATAGTAGCCTTGTAACTGAATTGATCTTCACTTAAAAAAAGAAAAAAGTCTTTCCTATGCCTCATTTGTCAACTACTTTGGACTTTATGGAGATAGAGTTTTTAAATGTGGTAGCTGTATAATGCCATTAGGAAGCTGAAATCTACTCCTGTTAAAGCTCTCCGTCCTTGTTTTCTCTCAATAGTACATGATCAGCCATACACAGCTAGAGACCAGGACCTTACAGCTGTCTGTCTGGCACTATGACAGATTTGGTCGCAACAGCTTTCTTGGGGAGGTGGAAATTCCCCTTGACTCCTGGAACTTTGAAAATCAGCGTGATGAATGGTTTGTGCTCCAGCCCAAGGTGAGGCTCTCCGGTTTGTTAATGGCGTAGTAATGAGGTGAAATAAAGGAGGTATGATTTATTATTATTATTTGGAGAGTGGCCGTAAAATAATGAATTTATAATCACCTGCTATGGAAAGGAACCTATGAGAAGAATAACTTTTCTTTTTAAAAACCAAAATGTAGTGTCTCATTTCATAAAGAATTTGTACGTGAATTCCTCCTTCCAGCAGAACCTATTAAGAAAAGTCCGTGACTCTATCAAATGGTAAAACACAATGGTAAAGGAATAATTTTGTTAAAGAAATGTTGCATGAAACAATGGACTGTTTCCAAACAAAGATCTGCTAAAGAAATGGACCTTTCTTTGTGTAATACATTTAAACATTTAACAATTTACTCCTGTAGTGCAGTTCATCAGTTACCCTTCTATTCATACTGAGTAGTGGATACGGCATCATGCTGTTTAGTATACAAATAAGTAGCTCCAGGAAATGTGAATGGTTGTAGTGCTTAGCTAAGGTTATAACATCTTCTGGCACTTATGGAATTCCTCAATGGAAAGGTCTGAAGTGTTTATTTTGGGAATAACTTTAAAGAGGCATTGTAAACTTGATTATATGCTTCACAGCTGCTCTCTGCTGTACTAGCCAGAACCACCAGTCTACGCTGCTGTTTCAGGAAGTATCATCTTCCTATGATCTTATGATATAAAGATTTGAGGACCTATTAGGAGTGATGTGCATGTAGGTTAATATAATTGATTTACCATTCTGTGTAAAAAACCCTATTTTTTCCACTTGGGGTACTTGGAGTGGTGGGCTTGCTTTGTTGCTTTCCCAGAGATGCAATTGCCCTGTAATTTTTGTGCACAATCCTGTGTTGGTTAGAAATTCTGTCTAAACTGTCTTCAGTTGTGTCTTTTGTATATAGGAGCTTAATTGTGAGAAGATACAAAACATCTTTCTGATTGTATATGTTGTGTGTGTGTTTGTCTATGTAGGAATCTCACAGATTAGTGATGTAGTTTATATTTGGAACTGTAACTCTCTTGTCCAAGTCTGATTGGAGCATATTAGTCCCTTTGACTCTGCTTTACTGCATTGAAGGGAGCAAGACTCATTAAGAATCCAGAGCTCAGACTGAGAGGAGGGTAGTTTACAAGCTGTCTCTCTCACCATTCACTAGCAGCTCCTCCGCTAAAACCGTGCTTACTTATCCTGAAACATGAGCAGTGGGAGTTAGGGATAGCTACTAAGCTTAGAGAGTTAAGCAGCAGGCTTTCTGTGCCACAGGCTTCTTTCTCAAAACAAAGCACAAAATGCATTAAATTATGTGGGAAGAAATGCTGACAGTCAGTACCAGTTTAAATTGATTTGGCAGTGCAATGTGTCTGGTTATAAGGAGCTGTTTTGGCAGCTACTGATGACTCAAGGGCCTCTGATTAAATACATCTTGATGCCCCTGGGGCTGGTACATGAAAAAGCCACAGCACATTTCCTCTTTATGTGCATAAATAAATCATAGAATCATGGAAAAATAGGCCTAGAAGGGAGCTCAGGCAGTCATCTGATCCAGCCCCCTGCTCAAGGCAGGATCATCTCTGTCTAAACCATCTCAGACAAGCATTTGTCTGACTTGCCTCAGATATTTCCAAGGAGGCAAATGTCATGACCTCTCTAGGTAATCTGTTCCGGTGCTTAACTACCCTCAGTGAGAAAGTTCTTCTTAATATCCAATTTACATTTCCCTTGCTGCAGTTTAAACTGTTACTTCTTGTCCTGTCTCCGGCAGCCATAAGGAGTAGTCTATCATTATCCCCTTCATGTATCCATGTACATGTATTACAGTAGTATGTATGTGACACAAATACCCTTCATGTATTTTATGTATGGATACATACATATTATACACTATCCCCTCATTCTTCTCTTCTCCAAACTAAACATTCCCAGTTCTTCTAACCTGTGCCCATAAATCATGTTCGCTCAACCTCTGGTCATTTTTATTGCTCTCTGTCTTGACTCCTTCTAATTTATACCCATCTTGACGTACAGGGCCCAATAGTGGACGCAGTACTTCAGACCCTTCTCCTTACACCAGTTGCCCTTGTTGAAGCAGGAAGGAAGCACATTCCCAATTGCTTAATATTGCCGAAAGGAGGCCTAGTTCCTGTATTTCAGTCCCCAAAAGGCATGAATGGGCTGCCAGAAAGGGCCATGCCAGATTCCCAAAATGGTTAGAGTACATGACTCAATCAGCACTGTGTATGCAGACAAGATAGAGAGGGTCCAATGGCTATTAAGAGGCAACATAATGGCACTGTAGTATCTGAAGGGCTGCCATAAAGAAGACGGGAAACACCTTTCCTTTGTTGCTGCAGAGAGCAGGACACAGACCAATGACTTGAAGTTACAGAAAAATTGGTTGAGATTGGACATTAGGAAAAACTTATGAAATTGACTGTCTAGGGAAATTGTGGAAATTCCTTCACTGGAAATTTTCCAGAAGAAACTAGATAGTTTTCAAGAAGAAACTCCATATGAGGAAAGGCTGAGGGACTTGGGCCTCTTCAGCCTAAAAAAGAGAAGGCTGAGAGGGGACTTGGTAGCAGCTGACTACTAGATCAAGGGAATACATCAAGGTTTCAGTGAACAACTGTTCACCAGGACACCCTTGGGGAAAACGAGGGAGTAATGGCCACAAACTCCTAGAAGACTGTTTCAGGCTTAACGCTAGGAAGAACTTCTTCACAGTTAGGGTGTACAGACTGTGAAATAAGCTGCCTCCGGAGGTGGTGCAATCGTCTACCCTAGATATCTTCAAGAGGAGACTGGATGGTCACCTCGCTGGGGTCACCTTACCCCAGTTGTCTTTCCCGCCTGGTGCAGGGGGACTGGACCTGATGATCTTGCAAGGTCTCTTCCAGCCCCTAACAATTATGAATCTATAAGCATTTGTCTGGGATGATCTAGGAGCAGCTCTGCTGGAGCATTCTGTAAAGTACAACATTTGGAAGCCCAGGACCCCCTCCACACGTACAGATTAACAGAAGAGCTCTGCAGCTGCACAACTGGCTTAGTTACAAAAGAAGATTAAGGAGATGGGATAAGTTTACAGAGGGAATCCAGAAACAGAAGAATTCTGACTGTCTAGTAGGAGGGTGTGATGTGTGGAGTTATGCTTGTTGTCCCAAGGTTGCAGAGCAGAGTGGAGCGTTTCTCGTTTTTCCCCGTGCTTCTAGGCTTTGCTGATTGCCATGTGGGGCCAAGGAGGAATTTTTTCCCCACTTGTTGCTACAAATGTCAGGGTTTCTTAGTGTTTTTTGAGTTTTCTTTGCCTTCTGCATTGGGTGTTAGCTGAAGCAAAGGCTGGGGGTTTTGATTGCGGTGTCCCAGTGTTCCTGTTGGCATTAAAACCTCAAAGTACTTGATTAGAGGGTTTTGAAAACCCTGAGTCAGACCAGTCACTGCATTTGGGATCAGGAAGGAATTTTACTCCATGGTCAGCTTGGAAGAGATTGTGGGGGATTTTGCCTTTCTGTAGCGGAGGACCTGGCCCTCTTCCTGGGATCACATTAGTATATTTTAGCAATCCTTTCAGTAGCAGGACACTGACAATGCTCGTGCCCCTGCTTTACCTGTGGCATGCTAGTGTGCTCTTGGTGTTTTGGGGCAATATACCTTGTAGTTCTGCAACAGGGTTTGATTGTATAGTTTTGCTAAGACTGGTAGGTTAAATGATGGATTTTTACAGGATGGTTTAGATGGGGATGATTCTGCTTTGGACTAGATGACCTTCTGAGGTCCTTCCAGCTCTACTTTTGTATGATTCTACGGCATATACTGTTCTTTCTTCCCAAAACAGTGTGTATTGACCAGTACTCTTTCCTCCCCACTCTGCCTTTCTGGGTTGCTCCATGTCTGGCTCTGTACATGAAGCAGAGGACTCACCTGCCAGGATCCCTTTGTTTGTCTGTCGTAGCACCAGCTGCTGGAAGCTTTTGCTATTATTTAGACTTGAGAGGTTACAGCAGACTTACACATACAACTCTAAGGGACATAGAATGGTCTGTTGAAACTTCTGCAGTACAAGGTTTGCAGCTCAATCTTCTTCCTGTGTCACATCATTTTAACGCTTTAAAAAAAATCATAACCAAAAGGGCACTCATGAGTCATGATGAAGCACTTTCACTCAGAGGAGAAGTAATGAGGTGCTAAGTACTTCAGCTGTTCCAACAGGAAACTGCTGTCTGATTATTTCCAAACTTATTATAAGGGCTATTAATTCTGATTCTTTGCTATCCAAAGAAAACAGAACTACAGTGCGTCTTGTCTGCCTCCTGGGATGATCTGGGTAATTTAAGTGCAGTTAAGGCAGTTGATAAGCAAAAGAGCAGTATTCTGACTAGGTAATTAATTGCAACATAAAATTAAAGATCTTGTTGGTTAATCCATGAGCTAGACAACACACTGCCCTCTGGTTTAAGCTGTATGTCTCTGAAAAGAGGATTTCCAGTAAAATAGCTGTGTCTTATTGGTTGTAATCTTAGAGTAGCTGTTCAGCTATTTGAAGATAAAAGTTGGTTATCTTCATGTGCATTTGTTTCCTGAGTGTGGGATGGCCTGTCTTCTTAGGGGATCAGGCTGAAGGTAAAAATGGAGGGTAAAATAGTCCGGTGGTTAAAGCACTAGGAGTTGGGAGACTTGTGTGTTACTTGTGTGACTTTGGAATTCCAGTTCTGTGCTTTAGTTATCTCACCTGCAGAATAGGGCAGTTAATCTTGCCATCCTCACAGAAAAGCCAAGAGGCCAAACTTGCATGCTTTGAGAAATCATCCAGCTTCCTGGCTGCCAGAGTCAGGCTGAAAATTCTCCCTTTTGGCCAGTTGACATAATTGTCAACTCTGAGTTTTTGCACATTCCTCTGAAGCAGCTGGCATTTATACTGCCTCCTATGTCCAACGGGGACTACAGGTCTCTAGTTTGAATGAGTTTGTGACTTCCTCTGTTAAAGTTTTAAAAGGTCTTTGCAATACTTGTATGAGAGGTATCCCAGTAGGGCTAAATATTATTTTGAAAGTCCTTTCATCCATTCCCAGCCTTCTTTTTTTATATGAGCAGATGGCAGGATCTAGCCCTAAATATTGTAACTCATCAGGGGATGGTGCCTTAACCAGTAGTTTAAATTTATATGCAGGGTTGAGTCTGGGTATATTACTTTTTGTATGCATGGGTTGTTTTTTAACTGATAATAAAATTCTTTATCTTGTTATTGAGGTCAGGAGAAATGATAGATATCAGAAGAAAGTTCTCACAGATATATTATTTATAAGTGTAGCTTGAACAGCATCTTGATGTACTGCTTATAGCATGATTTGAGACCTACAGTTTTATCTAAGCACTTAGTGCATTAGACAGACTTACACGATCTGCATAGGAATCCAATACACATTTAGGCTACAATGAAGCATATGCATAAACTGAGATATTACATAGGTGGTCCCAATGACTACTCATGTGCATGAAGTAGGCATGTGCTTAAGTGTAACAAGGTTCAACTCCAGGAGTGACTGTTATGCCCCTGGAACCCCCTCAGCCCTTGTCAACTTGTTCGTTGTTTGGGCAGTCCACCCTTCTCCTCGCCCACCAGGACTTGATGTTGTTATCTTTTAGAGAAAGAAAGGCTGCCCCAAGGATTCCTAAGCCCGAGCTCACACTCCTGAGCTCAGGTGTCTCTGCTCACCACCTTAAGCGCTAAGTGGAGGCTCTGTCCTCCTCAATACTCATACCTGTGCCTCATAGGTGATACTCATCCCTCTTTCTCTCTCTCTCTTCCTAACATCCCTCCCTCCTGAGCCCTCTTCTTGCCCCTCCTGGGCTACAGGATCCTTGCCCGGCTCAATTTCTGGCTGTGACCCCCAGTCTTTGGTCCTTCTCTGGGTTCTGACCCTGATGCTAGGCCAGTTGAGACTCATGAGCTTCCCTGGCCCTGCCAGTCTTTGGCTGTGGCCCTCCTCAGCCTTCACCTCATCTTTGAGCCCTGGCCCCACACCTGGACCAGTGAGACCTTTGGGCTCCCTGGCCCTCTTTACACTCACCCCTCCTGGGCCAGAGACCTCTGGGCTTCCTGGACCTGTGGACACTTGCCTCCTCCTGGGTTACAAACCTCCAGGCTCTCTAACCCTCTGGCCCCTCTCTTCCTTCTGGGCCAGCTGGGACCTCCTTACCTCCCCTTAGTCCCTTCCACAAGCCACCAGAGTTGCTTACCCCCAGCAGCTCAGACATGACCCAGAAGCCCTGCTGTAGCCCTGTTGCCCAGGAACTCCTCGATCCATGGCCCTCAGAGCGAAACTACCTGGCCAGCTTAGCCCCTAAGCTTATGCTTCAAGCCTGACCCTCTTCTGGTCAGGTGACTCTCTAATTGGCCCCTGCCATACCTGCAGGTTGCTTTCTCATGCTGCCTGCCTTCTCTTAAATAGCAGAAGCACCAAGCCTCCTGCTATATTCAATAGTTCAGACCGTTAGGGGCTTTAATAAAGTTTCATGAGATTGGTCTCTGAGGAAAGACTTTTTACTTTTATTTGATCTATTTATGGCAAAAGGACACCTACAGAAGCAGTAATTGTTTGCAAAACAAGCTTATAACTTTATTAACATTTAATTAAAAATACCTGAGAATCTAATACTACTTGTAAGAAATGTACTGTAAACAGTAGGTGCACATGCCTACTAGGTTTACATGTTTGGCAGAAGAAGAGATTCAGAATCTTGAGAAGTAATATTTGGGAAGAGGAGGGAAAAGAAGCTTGGAAAGTGAGATTTTTTTTATAAATCTCTTCCATTACAGAGCCTCATTCTGCCTCCTTATTCCAAGAGTACAGTTGAAATCAGCAAGACTAATTGTGCATTAAGTACTAAGCAACATGGCTAGGGACAGACATTCAAAAAGCCTGAGCCTGAATTGATTCAATCTTTGCAGGTTAGTCTAACCTGCCTAGGTTGAACTGTTTTGCAACCACATGGACATTCCCTCTAGACTGAGGAAATGCAGGCAGTGGCTCAGGCTAGAAGCTGGGGGGCACTAGAGCAGCCCTCCCTTCCCTTGTACAGTGCTGAGCTGAGTTGGGGACATGCCCAGGCCCCAGCAGGATGCTCTGATTAAGGAGGGGTGTAAACCCTCTGGCCTGCACCATCTCAGGCTTTTCCCTACTTGCTGCCAGTCCCCAGCCCCGGGCTAGCACTCTGAGGCAAAGGGTGCGTGTGCAATGCATGCATCTGTTGATGATATTGAGTTTTTCAATCTCCCTCTCCCTGTTTCTTCATACTGTCTGCAAACCTGACACGGTTGCAAACCAGTAGGTGGCTGATAAAACCCAGTGTTTATTAGCCCATCAACGAAACAAAAGCCTCTCTCATTAGTTCAAGCTCTTCTTAAACAGCTTTTTCCAAGGAAGGAACAGAGGGACATTATCATCTGGCCTGTTGATTAGCTCCAAAAAGCTCTAAGTTGACACTGTTCTGTCTGCCTGTCCCAGTAAAAATGGAGACATATACACACAGACACTTCTCAGCATTAGCTAGCATACCACATGCCTCAGGTCTGGGGGGCTGGGGTCTGTGCTGTGGGAGATGGGAGGGGTGGATCCCTGCTTGAGCAGCAAGAGAAGCCAGGCAGACCCTGCTGTGCCTGTAGTCTCCCCCAGAGATCTGGCTAGGGAGCAGAAGGGTGGGGCCAGCCTGTTTTTCTGAGCAGACAGCACAGCCCAGCCCTGCCCAGGGCTGCAAAGCATCTGGGATGCTGAGTGACTCTGGTTTAACTTAACCTAGGAAGGGATCTGGGACAGACACTGCATAAACCCAAATCAGTTAAGTCTGATACTACATTCAACTAGGTTTATCTTAAACCAGTTTCAGCCATTTTGAAGCTGGTTTATGTGCACTGAACTTATGTTCTGTTACAGGTTTAAACCAGTTTCTGATCAGTTAAGCTGGTTTATGTGTAATGTCTGCCCCTAGCCTATGAATAAGGATATCAGAATCTGGCCCAAAATTAGCTACAGTTTTTGCCTTTTTACAGTATTAGACTTGTTTGCTGCATGTCAATGTTTAACAAAGGACAGAATTTTTCTTCATTATGACAAACAGGCTTTCTCTTCCCTGAGTACGTTAACTGCCCCTAGTACAGGCCATGTAACTTCTATTCTTCTGAGCTCTTACATTCTCTGGTTGTGCAACTTTTGAAAATAGAGCTGTTTATTCAGTTTGCAATGGCTAATTAGTTGTGAGCAGTGTGCCAGGTGACACCGTATTTAAACAGTGTTTAGCTGAACTAACTTGCACTGTAAAATGTAATTCCAAGGGATTGGACACATTATTAAGCAGAGTTGGATTTTTTTTTTTTCTTTCTTTCCTGTCAGGTGGAGATTGCAGCAGACGTTGGACTTCAGTATAAAGGAGAGCTGACAGTTGTTTTACGTTACATTCCCCCAGAGAGAAACTTAATGCTTCCGCTAGGACAGTTCCAAGGTAAAATTAATATGGATGCTGCATTCAACACCCATCTTGTATGATGAAAGCTGAAGTTTAAAGTCAAAGAATTGCAGAAGGTTAAAATTATTCACCAATAAACTAGGCACCTGTGCCTGAGGGTATTTCAAATCTAAAGTTGCTCCCCACTGGGGAGGAGGACCTTTGTATGTGCTGTGAGTCATTGCATGGCTGTGATAGCACCAAAGAATTCCAACTGGTCAGTAACACTGTTTAGGACAGTCGTTGCCCAGAGCACTACTGTAATTCACAGTTGTTGCTCATAGAGTTCCTTTGTGCTCATGGAGTTCCCCTTAGTAGACAATCCTTAGTCACATAGATCTTGCTCTTTGAACCTTTTCAAATTATTTAGCATATCTTTTTCTCAGTTTTACCCCCTTATTCCTATGGCAATTATGTGTCTTCACATATGAATAGAATTGTTTAAGATGGTCCAATATTATCATTGGCAACAGACACTGCTTCCGCGCAGAAAACTAACGATGATTACTACATACATTGCAGTAACATCAGAAGAATGATTGTCTAAAACAAGGCTGTCCAAGTGCTAAGTCCCTGGGAGCCACACGCCCCAGGGGCTGCACCAGCAAAGGCTGCATGGGCTGCACCACTTGAGCCACAGACCACTGGCCAGTGTGTACACTCATAGTTTCATAGTTTCTTAGTTGGTAGGGTTGGAAGGGACCTGAGCAGATCATCAAGTCTGACCCCCTGCCATAGGCAGGAAAGGATGCTGGGGTCAAACAACCCCAGCAAGGTGGCTCTCTAGCCTCCTTTTGAAGACCCCCAGGGTAGGAGCAAGCACCACTTCCCTTGGAAGTTGGTTCTAGCTCCTAGCCGCCCTGACTGTAAAGTAGCGCCTCCTGATATCTAGCCTGAATCTACTCTCCATCAACTTATGACCGTTATTTCTTGCTACTTCCTGCTGCCTTCTGATCATGCGAGTGGCCCTCCTCTGGACCATCTCCATGTTATCCACATCCCCCCTGAAGTGCGGCGCCCAGAACTGGACGCAGTACTCCAACTGCGGCCTGACTAATGTCATATAGAGGGGGAGGATCACCTCCTTGGACCTGTTCGAGATGCATCTGTGAATGCATGACAAGGTGCGGTTAGCCTTCCTAACTGCGTCCCCACACTGCCGGCCCATGTTCATCTTGGAGTCTATAATGACTTCAAGATCCTTTTCTACCTTTGTGCTGATGAGAAGGGAGTTCCCCAGCCTGTAGGTGTGCCGCTGGTTCTTTCTCCCTAGGTGCAGTACCCTGCACTTATCAGTACTGAATCCCATCTTATTCTCATCCGCCCACCCCTGTAACCTGTCCAGATCCAATTGCAGCCTGTCCCTCCCCTCTAGTGTGCCCACATCCCCCCACATCTTAGTGTCATCTACAAATTTGAACAAGGTGCTTTTCACCCCCTCATCCAAGTCACTGATGAAGATGTTGAACAGTGCGGGCCCAAGGACCAAGGCCTGGGGGGACCCCACTGCCCACATCCCTCCAGGTCGAAAATGACCCGTCCACCACTGCTCTCTGGGTGTGACCCTCCAGCCAATTGGCGACCCATCTGACTGTGTAGGCATCAACACTGCAATCTCCTAATTTTTTAACGAGAATGGGGTGAGAGACAGTGTCAAAGGCCTTCCTAAAGTCCAGAAAGACTAAGTCCACCGCGACACCTGCATCCAAGGATTTTGTGACCTGGTCATAGAAGGCCACCAGGTTGGTCTGACAGGACCTGCCTTGAATGAACCCATGTTGGTTGATCCTAAGCATACACTCTCCTGCTTGCCCCTCACAGATGTGCACCTGGATAATTTTTTCAAAGAGTATCCCCAGGACTGAGGTAAGACTAACAGGCCTATAATTTCCTGGGTCCTCCTTCCTCCTGGGTCCACTCTTCTCCAGCCCCCTGCTGCATTGTGTCCCCATGCAGCCACCCCACTTCCACCGCTACACTTGATGCTGCATCCCCTGCTGCACTATGCAGGTGCATGAGCGCAATGCATGTCCTTATGGGCAGCCACCTCACCATTGCACAGGGTGTATCACACCCTCTCCTCCCCTCCTCCCCTCATCGCACCATGTGGGCAAAATCCTTCACACACAGCCCCATTCCCCCACTCCCTGGCATACAGTCCCATATTCACCCTTGGCTCCCCAAGCCATTCATCACACCACACCGCACTGCCCTGTCCCCTGAGGCAGAGGCAGGAAATGAAAGCTGGAGGAGGGAGGGGGAGCCCAGAGGCTCAGAGTGATGGGGGGAGTAACAACTGGACAGGAGCCCAGGGCTGCAACTCAACCACTCTTGGGCTGCATGTGACCTGCAGGCTGCCACTTAGACAGCCCTGGTCTGAAATGATACAGTGACCTGATTGGATATGCCAGGGGTTCTCAACTGGAGGTATGCGTGCCCCCGGGGGTACTTGGGAATGCCCTAGGGGGTATGCATGGGCAGGCAGGGATGGAGCACTGCCACCCACCACCCCGTGCTGCACCCTCCTAGGAGCAGGGCTGGAGCGGGGTGAGGGCAGCAGCGCCCCTCTGCAGGTCTCACAGGCATTGCCCACCTGGTTGGATGCAGGGGGTTGGGGAGCTTGCACACAGCAGCACCTGCTGCTGCCATCCACTGCCCCGTGCTGCTGCTCCGCATTTGGTTGCATGTCAACCCCCACACCTCTGTGTTCGGCCACATGTTCTCCCCCTCCCTGCATCCAGCTGCTGGGGGTACACTTATTAAAAGAGGTTGAAAACCCCTGGTATATGTCAACCTGTACACAAAAAAGCAGGCTGAGAAGTCTAAGTACCTGAAGAACTTTCTGCCAATGAGCATACTGCTATTACTGTACTATCCCATTTTCTCAGATGAGTGATATTGTGTTTATGTGGAGCACATTTCAAAGAACTGTACTGGAAGCTGATAATTTTTTGTGCAAGGAGCCCACCTATTGAGTATTGTCATAAATGAATTTAAATCTTTCCTAAAAAGAAGTGACTACATAGTGCGAACTAATGGCTTTCATAGCGTTTGGACCCAAGCAACTTTTCTATGTTCACTGAGCTAGAATTTAACAAGTAACAATACCATTTGTCCACACTGATATGGATTGTAT